CAGTCTTCATTTTTCTTCAATAAGTGGAAAGGTTGTTTGTGTCTCTGGTTAGATAGTAGTTATCCTAGCTTTATTTCTTGTTTATTCTATTATGTTATATGTCTGAATGCCGCTTTTAATATGTACAGTTCTAGTAGGCTTTAAAATCAAAGTGCATCAATCACAACTTTTTTCCTTTTACTATAAAAAGATGCACTTATATAAAATATTACCCATAAAATATTCTTCCAGCACTTCTCCACCTTTTAATTACTTTCTCGGTTAGGATTTCCCAAGCTTAATTAAATAAATTTCTGCCATTGTGTGCATTTATTCAGACTATGAACAAAATGTAGACACCATTCAGATGTGAAGACCTATTACAAGATTGAAATAGATTTCTAATGCATTTATCATTCATCTTTGCAGTGTGTGATTTCAATCAGAAAAAAATGATGAATGGTTTGACACTTTCCACCCCTGTACACTAAAATATAATATTCTTCTACTCGTTTTCAGCTATTACAGACTTTAACATGCAATGTGACCTTGGTCTGCAAAGCATGTTTGGTCAGTACAAAAACTTAATCATAAGAAGTCATAAGTAGAATCCTTCTTCTTTACTGCCCTTTTTCTGGGACTAGGAAATTTATTGCTTGTGGGACAGGTAGGATATGAACAATGGGCCAAATAGAGTCCAGGGTTATCTCATCTGTGTGAAAACTGCTGCTGAAAATCGATGTGACCTCTGCTACACTGTCATCCCAATTCCCACCCTCTGTGTCCTATTTGTCTTTTAGTAGAAGCTTAGATCTGTGTGCTGTCTCTATGTGTCTCTCTTGGGCCAGATTATCAAAATGAATCATTGCCTGCATACCTCTTATATTTCTATTTATTTTCCTGGTGTTGACTAGGTCTGTTGAAATATGATTCTTTTTGCATTTGATCCTCACTGCAGCAAGCAGCACCTAATTTAGCTGTGTCTATTTCTTTAAAGAAGAGTAATACTATTTTGAAACTTCAATCTACTGTACAGCAGCATTACAAACCATACACCATGCAACCTGTCATCACAGTCAATAGTAATTTTCCTTTCAGCCAATTTAATACTATTACTTTCATCTCCAAGTAGGAGAGATTTCTAGATATTTTAAAGCTGTATAGTTTTCTGTTATGCATATTTTATGTATTGCTCTCATTTTGAGATGCCACTTTTGTTTATTCAGACTTAACTCTATATCATAAATGGCATTTCTCTGTAGTATCTTATGCACTATAAATTAATTCCAAGAATTCTACTTTCTGTATAAAATATTTACATATGAGAAACAATATATAGTATTTGAATCAAGAATGCAGTAGTCTGTGTGTGTAACAACAGTTGTTTGAAAGTTTCGGAGGGACAGTTGTCTTAATCTGTAACTGAAAAAAACTTAAAAAACAACAAATAGTCCTGCAGCACCTTAGAGACTAACAAAAAATGTAGATGCTGAGCTTTCATGGGCATATCCCACTTCTACAGATGAATAGAGTTAAGGGGTCCAGGTTGTAAAATAAATAGAAGAGAAAGAGAGGGGACAGGGAAGGAAAGAGAAGGAATAAAATGGGGGGGAAAAATGTCAGAGTGTCTATGCTAAATGAAGCTGATAGAGTTGGTTCTAAGTACTCTTAAGTATGTGGTGCTTGACTATTTATGTCATTAGGATATGGAATGTAGTGGGTAATCCAGTGAAGGTCTTTGTTTAAACCTTTATTGCAGGTATCAAACTTGTAAATGAAATTAAGTTCTACAGCTTCCCTTTCAAGCTGGTTTTTCATATTAGCTTGTAATAATATGGTAACTCTGAGATCCATTAATGAGTGTCTCGTCAAGTTAAAATGTTCCCCAACAGGTTTCAGTGTGTTACCTTTTGAATATCTGACTTGTGTCCATTAATCCTTTGTCATAGGGAAAAAGTTAAACACAGTTGTTTAAAAGTAGATCATTTTTATATAACATAAATCCATTTTCTAAAATGTTAGCTACCTAAGTGCAAGGATAATGGAGTCTTTTGTTATTATTTGAGGCATCATTACGAATATGTTCCATTAGTATACTCACACAGTGAAGACAAAATACTCCCTAAACATAGATTTCAACGAATACAGGAAAACTACCAGCACTCCTGGGTTAGTTGTCAGCCTGAAGAACTGTTTATCAAGCTGAATAATATATTATCAATGTAAAGACCCTGCAATTTAGTTTCATGTTTAGTATTTGTAACCAATGTACTGATTCTCTCTGGAATTTTTTTTTAAATGGCAGGGGGAGGTTCTGTAAATGTGATGTGATCTAATTGTAAATCTTAGAATTAATATGACCAAGGCACTTGACAAATGAAAATACCAGGATTGGTTGTGCAATTGCCTTTAGAAAACACGTCATGAATTTATGATCAATATATTAGTTTAAGCTTTACTAAAAAGCAATTTCTGTGAAGATGTTCTTCATTTACTTCTGCAGCTGCCAAAAGAATGTTTTATAGGTTCCTCAGGAACAACACACAGATATATTTCAGATTCAAAGGGCGTACAACACAACGCCCGATGTAAAATACTAATTAAAGGAGTTTTTGTTCTATAGGTTTCAGCAGTAAGCTTGATACCTAAAGCCATTACATGCAGAGGAGGGTTTAAAGTGGTCTGAAAAGGTATGTCAGTTATTGCTCTACAAGCCCACCTGGACTTAGGGCAGCTGCACTGGGGCCCAGCCACTTAAACGGACCTCGTCTTCCAGACACTGCCACCACTACATGGGCAACAACAGCAGCCAAAGCCCTAAGCCCCAAATCCTTTAAATTGTCACCAGAGCCCTGATCAGCACTGAAGGGCTGACTAGGGGAGGCTAGCCTGAGCTTTGCCCCTTCTGCTCAAGGCCCTGCCCCTTCCATGGGCCCAGAGCTTCTCTGCCACCTTACCCAGGGTCTGGCAAAGTCTATCAGCCACTCTGTTGATGTACAACAGTGGTTTTCAAACTTTTGTGGATCCCTAAAAAATTGTGAATGGCAGAGCAGATCCCGTTGGAAATCTTAGACATAGAGTATGGGTCTACAGACCACAGGTTGAAAATATCTACACTACAATATTGATTAGTGTTAATGTTAATTCATAAAATAGTGTTGGGTTCAAACAGGTTGTAAGAAATATTTTAAAATGTTGTTGCTACTTTTGAGATGAACTTTTTATATCAGGCAGGAGCAATGTTTTGCTTGTCCACTAAGGATTACTCTATTAGCCCAGGTTCCTTCAATTTAAAAAAGGCATACCAGTTTGGCTACGTATTGTAAATTTCAGGAGTAGGAGTACTCTACCATGCTACTACCATACTACTACCTCCTTTCCAGTGCCTGACTTACTTCAAAATAAACTCTTTCTCTTTTTACTGTAGATGACACAATTCATCATAGTAATAGAGATGTAGCCGTGTTAGTCTGGTCTTGCTGAAACAAAAGACAGGACTATGCCGCATTTTAAAGACTAACAAGATGGTTTATTAGGTGATGAGCTTTCATGGGCCAGACTCACTTCCTCAGATCAAATTGTGGAAGAAAATTGGCACGACCATATATATACCAAAGGGATACAATCAAAAAAAAATGAACGCATATAAAATTGACAAACCCATAGACTCCTATAGACAACCACCTAACCTCAGGATGATTTTTACCAACAACCATAGGACATACCAGACTAATACCAACCCTGGAACTTTCCCTTGCAACAAACCCCGGTGCCAGCTTTGTCCACATATTTACTCTGCTGACACCATCATTGGACCAAACCACGTCAGTTGCAAGATCAAGAACAGATATTCCTGTTCATCTAGAAATATAATTTATGCCATCATGTGCCAACAGTGTCTGTCAGCTATGTATATTGTACAAACTTCTCAGATACTTTGCCAAAGAATTAATGCCCAGAAATCAGGCATCAGGCAGTTTCACAAAGAAAAAACAGTTTCTTGTCATTTCAACCAGACTGGGCATTGTCTCAACAACCTCACTACATGTATATTACTTCGAAGAGACTTTAACACCAGACTACAAAGGGAAACCTCAGAACTGTCATTCATGCTTAAATTTGACACTTTACAAATGGGCCTTAACAAAGAGGCTAACTCCCTTACCCATTACAAAGATAGCTTCCCCAATTATCACTCTTAATATCATTATCTCATAGACGCTAACCTCCTCCTCCTCACTCTCCCTCTGTTCTAAAATCTGATTTGTCAATTTTATATGTGTTCGCTTTTTTTTGATTGTATCCCTTTGGTATATATATGGTCATGCCAATTTTCTTCCACAATTTGATCTGAGGAAGTGAGTCTGGCCCATGAAAGCTCATCACCTAATAAACCATCTTGTTAGTCTTTAAAGTGCTGCATAGTCCTGTCTTACAAGTCACCATAAATACTCAACAAACAATTTTAGCTAATGCTGAACACTACAAAGGATGACAATAGCAGGTTATTCTGTAGGAAAATCTGCACTGACATTTTGCTTACAACTGAGACTTGTCATCAAGGCAAGATGGAATAACTCAGAGTTGATTATACTATTAAATCTGGGAAGAGAAAATTAAAGGGAAGGAGAAATGATAAATCTCTTGACTCTAGAGGATTTCTTTGGCTGTAACAGAAAAACCCTACTTTTCATTATACTCTGATGAACTATTCAGATCTAATGAACTGCATAACAAAGCTATAATTCTGTAATACACTTATGTTTGGGGTGTAACACAGTATGTGTGCACCTCTTCCAGGCGTCTCAGCATGATTTTACTTCAACTAGCACTATTTTTAGCCTTATCCAAATAACAATAATTGTTGCCTAAAAACAAACTATGCCAATTTTGTTATCCTAGTTATGAGAAGATTTCAAGGTGAATTAAGTCCTGGCCTTTAAACACTTCAGTCTGCATAAGATGGTTGCCATTGGCAATATATTAACTCTCTAATGTTGCTTTCTAATATATCTTTACAGAGGAGGTCCAAATTGCTATTCCAGTAATGAAACCAACCTTAGATAAAGTCCAACTGGCTGGACAGACTTTGCCTCCTGGATTCCCTGCACCATTTCTTTTTGCTGATGGTTTATCATCAGTAGAAACTCTATTAACCAACATTCAGGTAAATTATAAGTTATTGGTACCAGACTTACACATTGATAAATAAACTCATAAAGAATGAACAGTCTACAAAATCATATTCTCATTCAGAGTAGTCAGTAATGTCAGACCTGTTTCAATGAGCCTTTTTGCAGCAAACTACACTTTGAATACTAGCTACCCTTGATAGTTTGTTTAAAATGCAGTGAGCGAGTTAAACTTTTCAGAACAGTAGGATATGTCTCTCTTAGGCTTTTTTTTCTGATTATACAAAAATGTGTGCACAAGTGCTTGAATGAGTGTATGCTATTTGTCTAGGTTTGTATTTCTGGATATTTTTACAGGTCTTTTACTAAGTTTCATTTTTGTGTATAAACAGTCTCGACAGGATGAATTTGGAAAAGCTATTTTGAAAGAGTCCATAGCCCATAGTTTCTCATACAATATAAAATATTGTATATGATATAGCTACCTAATCTCAATTGTATACATAGGTCTACACATTTCATGTCAATATTTTCTCTCTCCCACAGATAAAATCAAATGATGATGCTTTATGCTACTGTTGAGATTAGATGTCATTTTCACAGGCTGATTCTGTGCTTTTAGGGTCTTCTGAAAGTAGCTGTGGACAATGCAAGGGTCCAGGAAAAACAGATACAGCAGGAAAAGAAAGAGTTAAAGATGGAGCTTTGTAGAGAGAGAGAACTAAGAGAGAGCTTAGAAAGGCAACTTACAGCTGAGCTGCAAAGCAGAGGTAAGTTAATGAAGAATGGACTCCGGATTTGATTTGCTTGCTCTGAGCTGAAATCGGGTTAGCTAGCAATCATATATTAGTGTAATGCGGTAGTGGGCAAACACTGATAATGAAAGATTTCAGTTTTTAGAAAAACTATAAAACAAGTTTTTTTTCAGGCAGATAGGGAAAAAAAACCTGACTGTTTCCTAAAGGATAACTGGCTACAAAATATTTTGGCAGCTCCTCTAGTTGAGAGCTGATTCAGTTCCATGATTTTCACAAGTATTATTATCAGTCCATCTGTGGGTTCTTAATTTGAATTCTCTATTTGGCAACTTTATTTTATTCTGTGTTTCTAACTATCATCTTCATCATTGAGAAGCAGTCTTGTTTTCTGAAAGATTCACAAAGAAAGTATGTTTCTGAAACATGTTTACACTAGAATTTCTTTCATCTCTCTGAGCTAGCCCTTGCTTGTGGGGGTAATTATGGGTATGTCTACACTAGCCACCCTAGTTCAAACTAGGGTGGCTAATGTAGTCATTCGAATTTGCAAATGAAGCCCGGGATTTACCATTACTCCTCCTCATTGCAGGAGGAATATCGGTAGTTTGAATTAGGAGCTTTAATTCGAACTACCTAGCCCGTGCCGCATGTAGCCGTGGGCAGGTAGTTCGAACTACCGGGCATTTAAAAATGACGGCACCTGGGAACATGCAAATGACACCCGGGATGTTTAAATCCCGGGATTCATTTGCAAATTCAAATGACTACATTAGCCACCCTAGTTTGAACTAGGGTGGCTAGTGTAGACATACCCTATGATACTAGGAAGGAGGATGACTCTAATGCCATTGCGTATATCAGCTGGGAGGAGGAGATACTTATCCAGAACTGTTCTTCCTTGAGATCAGAAGCAAATAACTTTAGTAATTCTCCTGTTTTCTGTCATACCATAGAGAGAAACGTGATATAAACTGTGTCTCAAAAGGCTGTGACATGAAGCATGACTACAACTGCACTCTGATGGAATTAGTTTTATAATATAGTGTGTTAAGTATAACATTTTTCACAGTGGTGTGTTGCAAAGAGAGAAGACTTTTCCGAAGTTCAGCATCTACATTAAAAGGCAACATTAAATAGGTGGAAGTAATAGTGAATGTGCTAATATACCATTAATTGATATGCCCATTAAATTAGACAGTCCTAACTTAAATAAACCCCCAAATTCTACCCTTGTATGCATGTGTGTAGCTTCCAGTTAAGCTGAGATTAGATCGGTGGTTTTCAAACTTTTTTTCTCCTGACCCAGTTGAAGAAAATGGTTGATGCCTGCAACCTAACATATTTGACTAAAGTGTGGGCCCCGGAGTAGGAGGGGACTGCAGCTTTGGAGGGGTGGGTCAGGGCTGAAGCAGAAGGGGATTATTTTGAGTGGCTCCTGGTCAGCGGTGCAGTGGGAGTGCTAAGGCAGCTCTGATCATGCTGCACCACAGAAACAGCCAGCAGAGCAGCTTCCCAGCCAGTGGGAGTGTGGAGCTAGTGCTTAGGGCAGGGACAGTGTATGGAGCCCTGTGCACTCTTCCCATCCCAGGAGCGGGGTCTGTTGTTGGCTGCTTCTGGGGTGCATCCCAATCTGTGGTGCCAGGATGGACAGAAAGCCAGCCATAGCACCCCCACTGATCACCCTGCAGCAACGAGACCCAGAGACTAACATTCCATGACCCAGTACTGGTACGTGACCTCTAATTTGAAAACCACTGGGTTACACTATGGTGACAACTCATGAGTAGATGGGCTTGGTCTAGGGTGGGGAGAGGGACAAAATCAGACCTGGGGGGCTGGATTAGGCCCAACAAGCATTTCTCTCCGACCCACCCTGCTAATTAGCAGCGAGTGCTTACTTACAGCCAGCAGAGTGTATTCAGCTGCCCTTCCCCCCACCGTGCTCCATCCTGTAGCCCAGCTGCTCTCAGGATTTTCCTGTTAGCTGTGCAGAGTGCAGGAGGTGGGTGGAGAGGAGAGCTGAAATTGGGATGTTCCCCTGCCCTTGTATCCCATCTCTGCAGAGCAGGGGACAGGTAAGAGGGAGACACACAGTGGATCTGCTCCAGTCTGAAGTGTGGCTGGTAAGTGACTCAGAGGAGTGCAGAGTGGGGGAGGGAGAAGATAACAGAGCAGGACAGATTTCCCTTAGAAACAGCATGGCTTCATTCAGAAACTTACCCACCAGCAGCCAGCATATCAGGCCCATATGCAGAAATGTCTGTGGGTGGGTGCTTTTTTTGTAAATGTGGACCACATTTTTTTTAAATATAATTTTTTAAAATACATATTTCCTGCTCCTCTTTTCTCCCCATTGCAATATTTAATCTGTTTTGAATAAAAAGAGGCACAACTGGAATATAAGGGACCATTTTTATAATTTTATTTTTAAATAATTTTCATTTAAATTTAAAATGGTCTCTCATTTTCCAGTTATATTCCAGTTGTGCCTAAAAACCAATTTAAAAAATAAATACTAATTTAAACTAGAAAAGTATTAATATAAGGAGTCTGCCCAGTTGCAGTGAAATTGCCTTTATCCAGCCATTTCAAAAGAAATTGTCAGAGATGGAAAGCTAAGAGATAAGTTTAATCACTTCTTCTACTGTTGCTTTATATTGGCGTCCTAACTGGTAGCCATCTTTCCAATGAAAAGAACAACAGTCTGCTACCAGGCAGTGCTAATCACCCAATGCCAGTGGGACGCCCAGCAGGGCCCAGTTATAGCCCAATTATATCCTATATCTGGGGTGCCCAAGATGTCAGTTGCAGTTGATGGGTTGATCACAAGCAGTCAACCGGTGGATCATGAAACAGTGGCAGCCAGGGAGGGCTGGGGCAGAACCAGCCCCTGGGGGTATGTCTACACTACCCTCCTAGTTCGAACTAGGAGGGTAATGTAGGCATACCGCACTTGCAAATGAAGCCCGGGATTTGAATTTCCCGGGCTTCATTTGCATAAGTGGGGAGCCGCCATTTTTAAAACCCCGCTGGTTCGAACCCCGTGCAGCGCGGCTACACGGGGCACGAACTAGGTAGTTCGAACTAGGCTTCCTAGTTCGAACTACCGTTACTGCTCGTTAAGCCATTAACGCCTATGTAAACTTTGTTTGAAATGTAACCACGCAAATGTCCTGGGACATGCATACCCCATGCAACCTGCTTTCCCCTTCACCCCTCCAACCTGACCAGGCAGAGATGACTGCAGTAAGTGAGTCAGGAGGACACCCCAAACTGCTTACTTCACAGATGCTCACACTTACCCCTTTTCCCCCACCTACTCCTGTGCAGTCTTCTCCCCAGCCCAGTTTGGGGCTGGGATAAAATCCTGCTTCTCACACTAGCAGGCAACAGCAGTCTAGCTGGGAGTCAGGACAGGATCAGCACAAACAGATTATCCATACCTTCCCGACCTCAACCCAGCACACAGCACAAACAAACTTCCCCTCCCCCCGTCTCCACTTCACCCCAATGCCAGCACCCACCCACCCTGTGAATCCCCCAACTATCCCATGCAGTCAGCCCCTTACCTCCCTTCCCAGCCCAGGAGGGCTGAGGAGACTGCTGCGTTTCTGCCTCTGCCTCCCTGTCTCTCCTCCCACATGGGACTCTCCAAACTCTCCTCCCTTATGACTTCCCCCCAAACCAATTAATTAATTACTCCCCCCACTGCCAGCCAATTATTCTTTCCTTATCTCCTGCTTACCTGCTCTGGGAGTTCCTTAGTTCACGCATGCAGCTAGCTCCATTTAGCTGCTGCATAGAGATGTCCTGCACACCACTGGTCAGCTGAGCTCCCTGCCTGCGCAGGAACTTTGAACCTCTGATCGGGTCTCAGAGAATAGCTGTTCAGCTGCACAGGTGCACAGTTTACAGGGAACTTAGGTCACAAAGTCTATCTCTAACACTCAAAGTGTGTGTCACACTCACACACTCTTAGTCTCTCTTTGTAGCCCTTTGCCCCACCCCTTCTGCCTGAGGTCCCACCCCTTCCAGGGGACCCAGAGCCAGTACATATCAAAATTCATGAAGTGGCCCTCCTGTGAAAATTATTGCCCACCGCTGGTCTAGGGGAATGCTAAGAGTCAAGAGTGGAGAAAAAACTCCTCTGAGATGAGTAAATTGCCCTATACCTGCAATTTGTTGTATCCCCATAATCCAAAGGAAAGAAAGCTTGATACATTCTTATAACCTGAAATTATGCAAAGGGCCAGCACAAAATATGTGCATCACTTAAGTTTCATTTAAACCATCATAATTCTTACATGAAACTTGTATAATGTATAGACTTTGCTGGCCTTCAGCACAAGACTGAGTTTCACCAATAATCACTGATACATCAGCCTAGGCTTCCTAGTCTGAACTACCTAGTTCGTGCCACGTGTAGCCGCATGGCACGGGGTTCGAACGAGCAGGGATTTAAAAATGGCGGCGCCCAGGTTATGCAAATGAAGCCCGGGAAATTCAAATCCCGGGCTTCATTTGCAAGTGCGGTATGCCTACATTACCCCACTAGTTCGAACTAGCGGGGTAGTGTAGACATACTCCCAGATCATCTCCATCAGTGCAGAAAGAGCTCTGATGGACCTAGACTTTATTGCACGGAATAGTGCACAGAGATTGCTGAAGTTCCTAGCATCATATTGCTCTCCTGATATTGTAGTAGAACTGCAGCACTTTTCCTGCAGGCAGGAATCTTGTGGGAAGATGGCCGAATTGGAAGATTGAAACTGAATTATGCTTTGGTAGTCTCAAAATGCTGTATCTGAAAATAAACAAAATGAAATACCTTCATGTAGCTGCCCAGCTTTACAGTCCAGCAAATAATAGAACCACTCTTGCTACACTTTAATAAAGCATTTTGTGTAAATTTGAAATTATTAAAAAAACAGTAATGTTCCCTTCATTGCAATCTTAAAACAGATAGATGGAGATTGGCAATGTATCATCTGAGATTATCTGAATTACAACCTCAGTATATAGCAGTTTTAAATGTAGTATGAAATTGTTGAAAGGTCTTTTCAGTGCAATCTGGGCTGCTTGACTTTGAGTGTTGTCAGTTACTTTGTTCAAATTACCTTAGTTCAAATTACCGTTTCACTGCTGCGGGCAGTTACTTCGGGCTAGTGGAATTTCAAAATGGCGATCAGACGGGAACATGCAAAGAAACCCCGGGATATTTAAATCCCAGGCTTCATTTGCAATTTCGAATGCCTACATTAGCCTCTCTAGTTTGAACTAGGAGGCTAGTGTAGACATACCCTTAGAGATGAAACAGGGGCCTTGCAATGGCTACTATGCATGGGAAGAAGACAATATTAGTATTGCTTCTTCTCTTCTTCCATCAATCAGGTGACAGCTGGTCTCACACCACTCCCATTGTACAGTAGCAGCAATATAGGATGGGACAAGCACCCAGCTGAAACGTGGCACCACAATTTCATTTCCTTTATGATATGTAGAAGGAAGGAAAGTGGAGAAAGAAAGGAGTCAGGAGAAAGAATCAGAAATACTGGACTCGAAGGGGTCCTGAAGTAGGACTCTACTTAGACCATCTGTGAGAGGTGGTTATCCATGTAGATGCTGGAGCACCCACGGGGAAAAATTAGTGGGTGCTCATTACCCACCAGCAGTCAAACTTGCCCAGTCTGCCTTTCCCTTCATGCTTCTTGCCTGCTGGTGGTCCCACTAATCAACTCCTCTCCATTCCAGAGTGATGTGAACAGTTGTGGTAAGCAGCAAAGGCAGGACTTGGGGAAGGAGGAGGAATGGGGGCAGAGGTGGGTTTTAGGTTTTGTGAAAGAATGGAGAGGGGACTAGGACTGGGGTGGAGAGAGGGAGTTAGTTGGACCTATCTATTCTTAAAACATACTATTATGGGGATTCTGTTGGAAGCCAATTCTAATATTTAACTACCTTTATAGCTAGAATATTTTCCCTAAATTTCCGTTGCTGCAGATTAAGCCTGTTTGGGTTTATTTAGTCTGCAGAAGAGAAGATCAAGGAGGGATGTGATGGCAGCCTTCAGATTCCTGAAGGGAGGGTCCAAAGAGGATGGAGAAAGGCTGTTCTCAGTAGTGACAGATGGCAGAACAAGGAGCAATGGTCTCAAGTTGCAGTGGGGGAGATCTAGGTTGGATATTAGGAAAAACTATTTCACTAGGCGGGTGGTAAAGTATTGGAATGGGTTACCTAGGGAGGGGGTGGAATCTCCATCCCTAGAGGTTTTTAAGTCCTGGCTTGCCAAAGCCCTGGCTGGGGTGATTTAGTTGGGATTGGTCCTTCTTTGAGCAGGGGACTGGAGTCGATGACCTCCTGAGGTCTCTTCCAGCCCTAGGATTCAATGATTCTGTGATTCTTGTCCTATCTTCTGTGGACATGAAGATCAATTCAGTCCTTTTTCTAATAGCTCTTAACGTATTTATAGACTTAACAGGTTCTCTTCTCAGTACTGAACATGCCCAATTTTCTTTAACCTTTGCTCATGGGTCAGGTTTTCTAAATTTTTATCAGTTGTGTTGCATTCTTCTGACCTCTCTCTGGTTTGTCCTCTTCTTTCTTAAAGTGTGGCACCCAGCATTAGGCATAGTACTCCCGATGAGTTCTTATCAGTACTCAGAAGAGTGGGACAATGAGTTCACGCATCTCACATATGACACTCTTTTTAACACACATATTATTCTTTTCACATCTGCATTAAATTGTTGACTCACATTCAATTTGTGATAACCCTCAGATCCTTTTCAACAGTGCTACCCCATTTTGTGCATTTGATTTTTGCCTTCCTACAGCACTTTTATGAAATTTGTCTTGTTTACTTCAGAGCGATTTGTCTGTGATTGTTTTGAGGTCATTAAAGGGCACCCAATGGAGCCATATTGAATTCTTACTTTTCTTCCTGTCTTTCTTTTGCCTCAGGATAGTTTTCAGATGTGTCTCAATATTATTTCCTTAAGCAACTGCAGATCCTTCTGAGCTGCTTTTTCCCTTAGATTTTCTTCTCATGGAACTAACCCTAACCCTAACCTATAACTTTTCCAAACTTAATATCTGTTTTTGGAAGTTCCTTCGAGCCATATTGAATTCTTACTTTTCTTCCTGTCTTTCTTTTGCCTCAGGATAGTTTTCAGATGTGTCTCAATATTATTTCCTTAAGCAACTGCAGATCCTTCTGAGCTGCTTTTTCCCTTAGATTTTCTTCTCATGGAACTAACCCTAACCCTAACCTATAACTTTTCCAAACTTAATATCTGTTTTTGGAAGTTCCTTC